ACAGACAGACAGACAGCAGACACACACACACATCACTGAGTCTTGGCTGAACTAACAGAGAGGAGAGGAATAAATATCTCTCTCTGCTTCTGTCTGCCAAGATTAGATGGTAAAAAGTAGAGTGTGGTCTACAGGAATTCCATATTGCTCAACAGATGTCCCATTTGACAGTCTGCCAACTTTAAGGTCATGCTGCTGAATTTGAATGGCTGAGTCTGTGCAGAAATTTTCTAACTCCAAGAATTCTCCAGCCAACATGGTCCCTGCAGAACATTCTGGGAATTGAAACCCACACATCTGGAAGATGTCTCAACTGGAGAAGGCTGCATTTTCTTGGATTGGGCAAGGCCAGTCCTTAACTGTGACAGCAAATTCCAGAGAAGCCAGAGAGTGGCACTTATTTCTCACCTGCTGTATATGCAGAAGCAGAGGTCATTGTTTTCCTAAAAGGTGTAACAGTAGCAGCTTTCTCTGCTTCCAGCTCTGCCACTGTCTTCTGCTTCACAGGTGCTGCTTGAGGAATATTCTTAGGAGGTGGTGCTGGGAAAATCACTCTTCCATCCTAAGAAGAAAAAAGAACTCAGGGCTTAATTAAAAGATCAAGTGATTTACACCAAAGATTCAAAAACCGCAGTCTCTGAGTCAATGAAACCTTCTGGAGGCCCTCTTACCTTCAAAGTTGCCAAAGAAAAACAAGAAAAGAAAATATAATGGGAGTGGTGACTTTGATATCTAGAAGGTTTTTTTCTTCTTTTTGCTTAAGTTAAAGCAGTCTTGATCAACATGGCACCCTGAAAATGGTTTGGGATTTCAATTCCCATAATCTCTCAAACTACTGACTAAGATAATCTGATTTGTGGTCCTAATGCTTCAGGATGCATGTGGTTGGATAAATGAAGGTAACAGACAAAGCAATTTGTCTTTTGGGAAGGAATTCCATGGTAGAGTAATTACCACATCTACAAACTTTTGCCACTGCAAAAGGCAATACATTGACTCCTATTCTGCTGACCCTGGTTGGGGGAAAATAAATGAGCTCCAATATTGCAGCAATTTCAGGCTGGTATTATGGGGTGTCAGGGGACTGAAGAGACATTGGATCAGTGTATATTCTTCCCGCCACCACTAGTGGCAGCTTCTCATGGGTATTTTAGTGGACTTTCAATATTATAGGTGTCATACTTGGGCCTCCTAGAGATCTTCCTCTCCATGGGCAGAGTGGCACTTATGTCTCCCAATTAAACTTTAACCACTTTCATAACAGCAGCCTTATATGTATTTTTTTCCCATTAACTTTCTCTAATATGCAGATACATGCAGACTTTCTTTGCCTTCCATTTTCTAACGCTTTATGCCTACCACATCCTTGGGCTTTCTTTTCCTTATCCAATTAGATTAAAAGGAAATCAGAAATATGTAACAAGAAAATGGTGAACGGGAAGTTCCCTATCCCCAGTTACAATGGCCACCTCAAAGGGATTTGTCAAGCATAAAAACTGTCAATCCATACTTTCATGGATCACCATGCAACATTTAATTTGGCCCTTATGATTCCATAAACTAAATTCTTCTGAAGATCCTAACAGAGTAGCACACCAACAGCACTGGAAAATAATATTAATTGTAAATAATGAATGAAAAATAAACTACTTTCCTTGCAAGGTATATTTCAAAATGGGAATGAATATGTTTCATTCACAGGAAGTTCAAAATACAGAGCTATAAATAAGATTAAGTAAATAAAACTTACATCCTCAGCTTCAGGAAAAAAAGAGCTTCCTTTACCTTCATTACCACTGTTCCTCTAACAACGTGGTCAAGAGTACCATAATCAAATTCATCCTTTAGGTGGAAGTAAAAGTGTTCTTTGTCCGGGCTGATGGCTTTCAGGAGCTTGGTGATGTTATTGGAATACAGGGTGCTGGCTTGGGTAGCCATTCTGCTGGGCAGGTCTGTGTAACCTATATGTGTGATTCCCTGTAGACACCAAAAATATAAATGTAAGAGCATAAGAAACTGCCTTATGCCAAGTCGGATTATTCATCTAGCTTGTCCAATATTGTTGCTGCTGCCTGGGACCAATTCTTCAAGGTTCCAGGCCTAAGTGTATCTAACTGTATCTGAAGATGCTAAATTTCTACATGCCCTTTCTGATACTCTTGTATATATGATTAAATAAACTTAGAAATAATTTCTGAAAAAAGAGTCAAAAGAAATCCAATTCCTCAAAATCAACATCTAATCATGACAATAAATGTTGACATAGATAAAACAATTATCTTCCTATTAACTTTTTAAAAACAATAATTTCTGAGTTTATATGGGGCATCTTCCATGTCTATAGGCCTACACTGATTAACAAATATGAGGGTTAAGGTAGGAACCAGCGATTCTCAGGATGAAGGTGACTGTTAAGTAAACATACAACAACTTGGTTTCAAGACCACCAAGCAGAACACCAAGTATCTGTTAATTCAGAAAACTGGAAGAAGCTACAAGGTGAAATACTGAAGCTCTAAAAGGAATTTATATCTTCCCCTAGGCAATACACAATTAATTGTTATGTCTGGCTTTATTCTTGCCTACAATCAAGACTGTAATCTAGCCATGTCTGAGAGTCTTCTACCAAGTCTAGCTTAGGAGCTCAATAGGATGCCTTGAGGGTGTTTTTTTTTTTTTTTAAGGCAGAGTTATCCACTATATTTGAAAAGGTTAAATTAAAATACTATGTACTTTTACAGATTAATCATGTGTCTATTTATCTATAGCACAATTTATCTGAAAAAATATTACAGGGAAATAAGTGGACCCGAGCAGTTACACAACATGCGCCTGCCCAAGGAACACTAAACATACTAATGGTCAACATTTTGCCAATATTGACTAAGAAGATATGTATTTGAACATTTGGTCAATTGTAGGTAAATTGTGTAAACTGTGTAAGTTGTTTAAGTATGAGATAACTACCATATTCAGAATCCTAAATATTTGGAGACAAGAAATATTAGGAAATAATCAATTCATAGATGAGAGAACTAGGCTGAGGACAGTTAGGTTAGAAACTCCTTACTTTATACTAAAAAAAAGTATGGCTATACACAATCCAACAAAGCTACCTTGTGAACATAGAGTTCCCCTGGCTTTGTAGTTTCAATATTCCCCCCTGCTTCAGCAGCTAGATCTACAACAACTGAGCCTTCTTTCATCAATTCAATCATATCTTTTCGAAAGAGGACTGGAGCATTTTTACCTGCAAAGACAGAGACAATATTCTAAAGTTGTAAGTTGTACTTAATAGAAATAACCAGTTCTGTCATTTTTCTCTAGATAAAAAGAACAGTTAAGCTTTTTCAGTTCCATAGATTTCCAGAGAAGCAATCTTATTTACATAGAATTATAGACTTGGAAGGGGCCATTTATGCCACAAACCTGCTACACAGTGTAAAAAACACTACCTTGTTCGGTACCGAACTTGCGTTCTAAATCCACGATTCCAGAACCAATCAATTTTTGGCCTTTTACTCACTTTTTTCAACAAGTTGGAGCAAAGATTATTGCTCCAATTAAACATTCAGAGAAAAATGAATGTCTATTCTACAGAATACATACCAGGAATAAGTGCTGTTGTAATAATGATATCAACCTCTTGACACTGTTTAGCAAAGAGTTTCATTTCAGCTTCAATGAACTCTTTGGACATCTCCTTTGCATATCCTCCTTGGCCTTCCCCAGATTCTTTTAGGTCAACTTCCAAAGGCTCAGCACCTAATGATTTAAATTGTTCTAATGCAGCAGCTCTGCCAAGTAGAAAATAAAGCAAACTCTTAATAACAAGGAAAAAAGCAAATAATATACAGACCACTAATACCAGAAAATTTTTTGCACACAGGTCTTCAAAATATGAAGTCATGTTCTCCCTTAAAAATGACCTGTAGTAGAAGTTTAGGATAAATTCAGATATGTAACCAATTTGAAGATGAGTTTTATCAAATTAGAATTATTTCCATACAAAAGATAATGTCTGCAGTTACTTGCTTTCCTAATCTCATAGGGAGATAATAAAAATTGGAATTTTCAGGCAGCCTGGATGTCAAACAAAAGTGGCAGTCACCATGTGAAAACAATGACACAAAGTATTTTCACATAAGGACCGTTCACTTTCCTGTGAGATGGGTGGCTGTACAAATATGATTGATAAATAAATAACTCTCTTCACCTATTTACTAAATATACTATTTTAATTGCTGTATTTTATTGTCTTTACTGTTTGATATTGTAATTAACAATTTTATTGCTGATTACTGTTATTGTTCTTTTTATTGTGCCACTGTGACCTTGTTTATGAGAAGGAATATAAGAAAAAATATTATTAATTTTTTAATTTAATTAAAAAGTTAAAATTAAAAATTAATTTTAACTCAGGGTAGTGATGGAGATAGGGAGACTGTACCCAATGACTTGAAAATAAGAAGGGAATCAAATGGAGGAGATTTACAATCAGTCATCATAGTTGTGGCCGTCCCAGCATCCCTGCAGTTACATGATCATGATTCGGGCGCTTGGCAACTGGCACACAATTACGTCTCAGTGTGCCATAGTCATGTGATTGCCATTTGCGAACTTCACTGCTGGCTTCCAACAAGCAAAGTCAACGGGGAAGCCAGCAGAAGGTCACAAATGGCAATCACATGATGCTGCGCCTAACAACCACAACCAGAACTGCTGTTGTACATCAGCACAGTCATGTGACATTGTGCTTTACGACCACATCCTTAGCGATGGAATTGCTGGTCCCAATTACCATAGTTTAAGCAAGAACTACCTGTATGTTGAAGCTTTACGGGTGTAGAATCCCTTTTCATTTATTCATCCTAATGTTGAAAGAGTGGCTAAAATGAATCCTGCTCGTCCTTCTACAAATTCCTGAACACATGAAGAAAAATGGCTGAAAAGTCCTCAAAGGCAGCAAAGACCTGAATGCTTGCTTAAGCCATAATGGACCATGGCAGACACCACTGAGTGTTATGTAACAACATTCTTAAAGATTTTTAGGCATTGCCACCAATACAAGTCAACTGTGCATTATGTACAGGTAGTCCTCAGGTTACAATGGCAATGGGGTCCAGGATTGCTGTCACTAAGCGATGCAGTCATAAAAAGCGACATCACATGACTGCATTGCTTAGTGACAATCCCTGCAGTCCTGGTTACCATCATAACCCCAAGATGCATGGGTGATTAAGCAGGAAGCAGCGGGAGTCCCACGTAAGGAGTGTGGGGGTACCACAGGGGGTAGGGGAGGCTGTGGGAGGCCTAGTACAGGCTGTGCATGAGCAAAGGAAAGCCTGGGGGACTTACCAGACCTGGGGGAGGCCGGGGGAAGCAGGGTGCTGTGCAACAGCCAGAACTTTGAGGACTGGTTGTAAGTACCCTTGTTCAGCGCTGTCGTAACTTTGAATAGTCACTGAACGAGTGGTTGGTAAGCGAGGACTATCTGTGTAACAATGATGCAGTACTATGGAGTGCCTCATAAAACCCAATGTACAAATGTTAAAATGGCTTCAATTCTTTGGGAGAAATACTGGGATACCACCCAGAGAAATTCAAAATGTTAGTCTGAATTGCTTTAAGCAGGTGGCACCACTTAGCCAACCTTCGCTCTTCTCAAAAAGAGCTAAGCAGGGTTAGAGCTAATTAATATCTGAAGGAGAAGCCATCAGGAAGCCCCAGAACTAGAGACCAAATGGGGAAGTCAAAAAACATAATGAAAGAAAATAACGGCAAACCACTGTATGGATGTGTTTGCATATCATGAAGAGTCAAGTCAAGGTGATTTTCTTTCACTCTAAAATCTTGTGAATTATTGGGGTGCAACCCAGAGAAATTTAAAGTCTGAATGATTCCTTACACTATGTAGTATAGTGGAACTCAGCCATGAAGCCCCTTGGGCTATTTAGTAGTCCTGAATAAAAGCCACAAAAGCCACAGAGTTATTTTAAGAAACGGAGAGAAAATCTGTGCAAGCCACCCTGATTATCTTTGAGGGCAGGATTATTAGCTACTGGTAATAAACCTTTGAGAGCCAGTTTGGTGTGGCGGTTAAGGCACCAGGCTAGAAACCAGGAGACCGTGAGTTTTAGTCCTGCCTTAGGCATGAAGCCAGCTGGGTGACCTTGGGCCAGTCACTCTCTCTCAGCCCTGGGAAGCAGGCAACGGCAAACCACTTCTGAAATCTTGCCAAGAAAACTGCAGGGACTTGTCCAGGCAGTCGCCAGGAGTCAACACTGACTGGGAGGCACAAAATAAATAAACAAACCTTTAAAATCTATATATATCTACCTGGTATCAAATCCACGAACTACAGCTCCCATTGATTTAGCTGCTCCTGCAGATGCTAATCCAGCAACTCCACCTCCAATGATCAGAACCTATATCCAAGCAATGCGTTATAATTACTTATACCAATCTAAATTGTAAATATGCAATGGCTGATGTGAATCAACATACAGTGAAGATGTAGGATGGTTTTAAGTAGCACCTAATTGCAGCTGTTTGCCCAATTACATGAAGCTTCCTGAGAAATGTCTGATTTCCAGTTGATTACCCAGCTTCAGAAAACTGGACAAGATATAAAAGAATGAAGATTTCTATAACAGCCATACCTCTCATTATTTTGATTCCATACATACAGGCAGTCAATACCGCAGGTTAAAAATCTAATTTCTTCAGTCATATCCAGAAATGCCCAAAACAATTCCCAGGTTCCACTTGTTGAAATACAAACAGCTAGTCAGGTGCATTACTATGTCAGTGCTGATATCGTCAACACAGCACTACTGAGTTGCACAATAAGAAATACAAGCATTCTTACAGGAACCTCAACTTTTTCAAAACCACAAAAAATGTATTTTTGTGGAATTTAATACAGAAGAAGAATTTAACAGAGGAAAATCTTTTAAAAAGCCTAGTTCAGTCTGGCTGCTCTTAGCCATTGTTGAACACTAACAGATGATTAGGCGGAAAAAAGAAAATGGAGGGAGAAGAAATAAAACTGAATTGCTTGAATTCTATATAGCAGCACATCATGCTACATTTCATTGTACCATAGTTTGCATAATTTATCCTCCTCCTGCTTGACACAAAGAAAATATGACTTTTGATTGGGCTCATCTTTAGACTAAAGAGGTTTCACCAGACTTTGTTCACTAATCTGAAGTTTGTTTATCATTATTATAAAGAATGAAGGCTCAATTTCAAAAAAATCTAATTTCAAAAAGTTCTACTGGATATTGAGTCATGCTTTCAACACTTGTTTGCAAGGAACTATTTGCATAACCTGGAGAAGCATTTTCAACATTCTTGGCAACAAGTTCTGTTATTGTTAACAGACATCAGACAGTTTCTGAGTGCCAAGCTAACTGGTTTCTCTGTTAGCTGGGAAGAACGGAATTTACTCTTCCTCCTTCAGCAGAATGTGGTGCTACTATCTGTACCTCTATAGTAATACTCAAGAATGCTATAGCCCGTGAACAATTTATTTGAAACATAGTGGGGAATGGACCTAACTGTCTTCTATATTGGAAGAGGTAAAGTAGGAAATACAACAAAGACAAATTTGTAACTCACCAGATTGTATTTTGTATTGTATTAATAGAACACAAATGTTGCAAAAGATTACATAGCTCTGCTACAGGTCTGTAATGAAACATCTCTCTTTAAAAAGTTATTTCAGCTGTAATTCTAATGACTAGCATAGTCATGTTATTTAGCCTGAAGTCAAGATAAAAATTACAGAATCGCTCTATCCATAATTGCAGTACATCAGACAAAGTTATTAATATGTAGACATAGCAACGCCTTTTTACTGTTTACCACAAACAGTAAGCCAGATTTTATATTAATTTTACAATCTGTGTATCTTAAGATTCAGTTTGAGAGATGTTAATTAGTAAATTACTCAGCATCACTTATAACTCAACAAATCTCCACCAACATCAAAAGAAATTACATTTGATTTGCTGGGGAAAGGCTAAAAAGAGAGTCTCTGGAGAAGAAAACTCACCAGAAGGGATTGTAATTGGAATATGAAGGTGCAAAGAGCACTGCTACCCACTTGTGACTGTACCTGCCAGTTCATTACAAGTGTGTATCTTTTCCCACGCATACCTTAGCAGGAGGAACTTTGCCAGCTGCCGTGATCTGACCCGTGAAAAAACGACCAAAATGATTCGCTGCAAGCACAACTGCCTTATAACTGTTAAAAGAAGCAAAGGCAGCCATCAGGATTATTGCATTTATATTTCTCCAAAGATACAGTACGGTGTCTGTGTGTGGCCTCAGGTAACAGCACTTGGTGATCTACCCACCTATCCTCTGTTCCCATCCACATAACCAATTCCTTAACTTTAGCATAAAGGATAGTTTAAATGAATCTGGTAATTGAAGGGAAGAGTCCATCATAATTGGCCACAATGCAAATCACGGAATGAGAGGATAATAATAGTGCTGAAAGCACAGCTACTAATTGTGAACAAGTTCTCATTGATGCAATTGCGTCCACCTGCTTGCCATTAATTTTGTCTGCTTCAATTGCTTCAGGCATCAAAAGATTAAGTCCTACTTCAGTCAGCAATTAAGGTATTGGGAAGTTAAGACCAGGGAAACACAGCTTTCTTATGACCAACTGTGACTGACTCTTCCTTCACAGTGGCCACCTTGAACTCCTGGAGGACAGGCTGGATATTAATCTAACATAAATAAGATTTGTTAACTACACAGATTTTGTTTTGTGTATCCCATTCTCTGGCTTCCCCAGTTTCAGATTTTCTGATCACAGAGAATTCAACCACTGGATTCTCATCCCCAATATGGGAAAGGAGCTAATGGGTCTCAAATTCCTGTTCTTCTCTTGAACTCAAATGGTGCTGCTTTCTAAGAACTTCCCAGTTGGATTTCTTTGCTCTCTGCCTTGACCAGCACAAGAACAATGAGTTTTTTCTGCTCAGTGAAGAGGAAAATACACATTAGTCTGAAATATGAATTCCACTCAGTATCAAACTATGTATTAGTGGAATCCTGCAAATGAGTAAAAAATATTTGTGGTTTCATACCCAGCAATATTGGCCATGGAGCTGAGAGCATCATATCCTTGAGCGATGGTCACACGTGGAACCTGATCCATAGCCAAGACAGTTGTGTTTTTTTCTGCTAGTTTGTTCAGCAGATCTGGGTTTTGAGCTGGATAGATAAAACTGATCAGGGTACCATGTGATTTAAACAGCTCAATCTCATGGACGCCAAGTACAGGATTAAACATTGGAGCCCTCACCTGGAGAAGGGTGGAAAAAGAGTAAACCACAAAAGCTCATACTGCAAGTATGAAAATAAAGTAAAATAAATCTGTATTCTAATTATATTAATTTTTAAAAGCATTTCATGCTTTAATTGCTATATTGATTTTGTGAACTGCAAATGGAATAGCTCTATAAACTTGGTAAACAAATAAATAAAATGCCATTTAATAAGGTTTGACTTAATAGTTACATTACTATACATTATAATGTTATTATCAATTTATATTATAAATTATTATATTAATAAACATAAGTCCTAAATAGGACTTAGATTCAAAATAGCGACTGGCAAATGTCTCACTTACTTGTTTAAAAAAGAAATAACTAGCACAGGAACTGGCACTGGATAAGAAGTCTAGTAGGAGGATAGAGAATTTTAACTCTCTGCTCCCACTGCAATGTCAGTTGGACTGGGCCTACAACATCTGCCAATTGTACTGGGGAAAAAAGCCCCAATTTGCTTAGCAATGCTCTTCCAGTTCAAAAGGGTGTTGGGAAGGGGGAATCCAGCTTTAGAGTACTGTATAACAATAGCTATGGTCCTGACCACCCCCTCCCTTTGCACCCATTCCTGTTTGCTTTTGTGAAGGCCACCTACACACTTGCTAATTGTGTGGAACAACTAATTTTCAAGTTCTTTACTATGGGAAACTCCCTGAGTTAATGGTACATAAGATTTCAATGACTAATTCATGTTCACACTGAACTCTCCCTTTAGGGAGAACTCTCACACAAAACATTTCAGAAATTACCTTGTATTGTTTTGGAGAGAATGAGGCGCTGGCTTGCTTAAGGACAATGTTTGCATGCTTTTTAAGCTAGGTTTTCAGTAGGGGCATCCTAGTTGCCAATTCATGCTTAATAATGCCTCTTCCTAAAGACTCTGCTGTTAGTTAATCTAACAGGTCGTGTATCATGGTAGCAAAAGATGAAGAGTTCAGTTCCCGAGATCACCTAATACCCTGAAAAAATATCTTAACAGAATTCCTGGAGAACTTTTGTCCATCGGTATAAGTCAGCAGTTCTTAAGCTGTTTGACCCAGTTACTCCTTCTCCAGGTCTCAAATAACATCATTACCCTCACAAAAAAACCCATAAAAATCCAGACTCTATTTTTACACAAGCAACTCAAAAATTGGATCCTCGACTCACAAACAAGTAATTACAAATTGCTCCATTACCTCCAGGATACGCCCAAATTACCCCTAGTTTAAGAACCACTGGTCTAGATCAGTGTTTCTCAACCTTGGCAACTTGAAGATGTGTGGACTTCAACTCCCAGAATTCCCCAGCCAGCATGGCTGACAGAGGAATTCTAGGAGTTGAAGCCCACCCATCTTCAAGTTGCTAATGTTGAGAAACACTGGTTTAGGTAATACTGAATTAAATAATACATTGGTCTGACTAAGTAGCTTTTCCCCACCTGGCTCCTCCTTGTTTTGGACCATCTATTACCACTCAAAACCAGCATTCCTGCTGTCAATGTAGACAGAAGGTTGAGGAAGGACAATTGATCATCATTAAAGATTCAGTCTGTGGAAGTTAAGTGTTAGCACAATGTTGCCACTGAAGAGTAACAGCGAAATGGACTTTGCTCTGTCAACAGTTTGCCTGATAACTGCATCTACTCTACAGCAACTGACGTTTGCTTTCTGCAAGACAAAGCTTTATCAGATGGGCTTTGTCCTAGTTCCAAAGAACTAGCTATGCATAGCATAGTGTTAATGTTAGTATTTACAATGCTATGCATGTTTTTAAAAAGAATTGCCTGTGAAAGATTTCAAATAATAAATCTAACTAGTAAAAGTGACTGAATTTTGTAACTCAGACACTATGATTCATGTTCAAAGTACCACCACAGATCAAATATACTGTACTATTCAAATAGTATTTTAAGAAGATGTATGAAGAATTAGGATAGATCCACAGTTCCTGATAGCTAGTAGCACAACAATTCTCATATGAGGATATATAGCAATTATATAGCAATTCTCTTACATAGAGAACCAGTTTGGTGTAGTGGCAAAGGTGCTGGCCTAGAAAGCAGGAGATTATGAGTTCTAGGCCTCCCTTAGGCATGAGAGCCAGCTAGGTGACTTTGGGCCAGTCACTCTCTCTCAGCCCAACCCACCTCACAGGATTGTTTTTGTGGGGAAAATAGGAAGCAGGATTATTAGGTATGTTCGCCACCTTGAATTATACATGGTATGGGCAATGTCTCAGAATCATACTTTTGAATTCAACATGCCTACTTTCTGAGTTCAAAATGGCTGTTGGACATTTGAAACAGTTGCTTCACATTTGAAATGGGCTGTTTCCACCATTTTGAAGTTGTTTTGAGGTTGAAATGCTTTCAAAATGATCAAAACAGCTCATTTCAAATGCAAACCAACTGCTTCAAACTCAATTGTTTTAACAATTTGAATTCAAAAGGTATTCCATAATGCACATACAGGTAGTCCTCACTTAACAATCACAATGGGGACGGGGAACTCTATCACTAAGTGAGATGTCATATGGCCTTGACGGGCTTACCACCTCACTTCCACCATGGTCGTTAAGGAAATCACCTATGGTGGTTAAGTGAGACATCATGTGACCACTACTTGTGGTTTTACTGCCGGATTCTTCATTGGTTCTGCTTGTCGGAAGCCAGCTGTGAAGCACACAAGTGGCGATCACGTGACTGTGGGGACACTGCAGCGGTCGTAGGTCCAAGGAGCGATCATAAATTTACTTTTTCAGCACCACTGTGACTTCAAACAGTCACTAAATAGGGCAGTTGTCAAGTGAAGACTACCTGTATATACTTATATTGGTTTGACAGACTTGATGCAATTACACTCCCAGGCAGGATCCCTGTTATTTAAAATTGTCGAGCACTGTAAGGATAAACTGTTGACTGAGTGGCACTGGCTTCCTTTTAACATTCCTTATGCCAGGAGCCTACTATATTTGCAAGCTCTCTAAATTCAGCTGAGTTTTCTTGGTATTCCTCTTTCATGTGTGTGTTTTTTATATTAAACACCTGTAGCCTTCTATCTTCCTACATTTAGGAAGCTGATATTGCTTTGTCTCCTACCAGCTCCTGTATATTCCCCACCAACTCCAAAAATTCCCAGCAATCTCACTTGATAGAGGCAATGGGCAGGCATGTTGCATCCAGCTGCAGTGTGTATAATTTGTACATCCAACTTTTCTCTGCAACTGTACATAATCAGCAAAGATTGGGAATGTGAGATTTTTAAAAAACAGGAATTTTACATAAGTATTTTAAATAAATTCATAAGAAGAGCTGTCCCTCAAGAAAGCTCATTGCAGCCTTATGAGTAGACATGGAACCCAGGTGCCTGATAAGCTTTCAAGAAATTCCAGGATTCTCCAGCACATAAATAGGAAAAGCCACCTTTGGATGGAATAAGTACTAGCTTGGTTATTCATCCTGGGAAATACTAGGAATCTCTCCTGCAGAAAGCAAAATATTCCATGTTTAGGTCCATGTTTAACGTCATTATTAATCTGAGAATTTATTTCTGTTCAATTCTATACTACAATGGAAAAAAGCCAAACTTAATAATATCTATTAGGACTGGATAAAATATTTCAAAATATTAAATGTTTCAAGCTAAAATAGTTGTTTGAATCTGAAATAAATTGTTGTGACCATTCGGGAAGTGCTCCACATACAAAATAACCCTGTTTCAAGTTCAAAATACTTCCAGAATAGTTAGAACAATGTGTTTTGAATTTGAAACACCGTGTGCACCATTATTATCTACAGTCTTCAAATTTTGTTTTTGCAGAAACACTAAAAGAGTATGATCTCACAGGAGCAGTAGCAAAAAGGTCATTATTACCTTGAGAACTATGTCTGAAGCCAATACTTCCTTTGTGCCTTGGATCTGTGCTCCAGCCTGTCTATAGTGGTCATCAGAAAACTTAGCAGCCTCTCCTGCACTCGACTCCACAACAACATTAAAGCCCTGCTTAACCAGTGCTTGAACTCCAGCTGGTGACAAGGCAATCCTTTTCTCATTTTGAAAGATCTCCTTTGGTACACCTATAGTCAGTTCCTTATATGAAATACCTGTAAAGGCAGAAATATAAACAGCAACTGAATTAGTAGTTAAAAGCCTGAAAATATCGTAATATCCTATGGAAAGGACCATTTACATGTCAGCCTCTTCTTAAAAAGCATTTAAATGTATCCTTGCTTCAAACATAGAAGATTTCAGAAACAAGCCTAGAAGTCACGCGCAATGCTAAAAATAATATTTTACAATTTTCTTATTGCACGATTTTCTTATTGCAACCTTCCTCTACCTGGCACATTCACATATATTGGGTCTCCAGCTCCCATAATTCCGAGCAACCACAGCCAAGATGAAATTATGGAAGAGTGAATTTGCATTATCTTGTGTCTATCAGCATATCAGTTTAAGTTCAATGGCTTTTAATCTCCATCTCCTGAGCTATTCTCCTCTTATTCCATGGACAAAAATATCTCAGCTACCTCCTAAGGCCAAATTAGTACATCTATGTATAAAGTAGATCTGAAGCCATATCTCACTATTTATTGAATGTATATGACCGCCCATCTCACAGAGTCGTCCTAGGCAGCTCACAATAACCAATAAAAACAGAATATCCCTTCCCACCAGGTCCCAATCCTAGTCCAATACCTGGGGAAGAACTGGGTCTTCATGGTCTTCCAGAAGGCTAAAAAGGTAGATGCCCCTCAAATCTCAGGTAGGTGGCTATTCTAAAGGACTGGGTTAGTTACATAGAAAGTGTGCCTCCAAAGTCCCATCAGATGACAGCATTTAAGGGACCTAAAGCATACAATGCTGTGTCTGAGATTCTATCAATGTCAAGGTAGCCCCAAATACTGTGAAAGGTATTCTTGACTCACATACATGATAACAGTCCCAGGGTGCCAACAGTTATGAAGCAGGCATGGACAATTACTTAGTAACTGAGGGTTTCGTTTAATTTTTGGGGAGGTGGGGAGGAAAAGGTCCATAATGGATGAAGCCATATAAAAGATGTGGGCAAAGCCACATTTTTGCTTTGTAACTGGAGTTGGTGGTTTTGTTTTGGTTTTTTTAAGCTTACACTTTAATATTCCACGTTTGCCATTTCAAAATGTTAGTTTTGAGCAAAAGGTAGAGAGGCTCTTGGGACCACAAAAAGGGGACTCCAGAGGTATGAGTTGCTCACTCATGCTATAAAGATTCTCTTTTCTGTGCAACTTTCCCTGGGAAGGTTCAAGTGAATGTGTGGCAGTACAAGTGAAACATATTAAAACTCTCCTGCCTATACACTGTGGAAACAGCCTTTACAAGTATGAGAGAGGTTAAGCATGCCTTGAAGACAACAGATGCATCAGATAATCCAACTACATATACATAATTGTTGTTGTTGTTGTTTAGTCGTTAAGTCGTGTCCGACTCTTCGTGACCCCATG